CCGTAGCTGTAGCTAACCCATTGTCATTGCACTGAGAGGTGCTTTCAATATTTAGTTGATTATTGTAATTCATATAAATGGGGTGGATAAAATAATGAAAAAATTACACCAAAAAAACTAACTGATGACAATAGGATCGAATTGAGTTTTATACACTGCAAAATGTCACTCTTTCTTTATATATTGATACCTTTCTTAATAGTTTAAGGAACAATTGAATATCTTTCACATGTTGTATTATTTCCAGATTCTTGTTCTGTTGGATAAACTTGATATTATCAACAAAAATTAATGTACACTAAAGGGAGTCTTCCTGATTTAACTATTGCTAAGCTCCATTTAGGCAAATAGGTGATGTTCACATCCCACTCATGTAACTTGCACTGCCCTTGCAATTAAACACAATCAAGTTGCCATAAAACTGCCAACTTTCCTTCCCTGCATTCAGATTCTTCACCTAATTAGTTATTTTACTATCTCTTTATCACTTTATTTCCATTTAAACTGTTACATTTAGGTATGTGTCATTATTCAAAAGACTAAATTAAGAAACAGAAATGAAAATGGACTGCAAACCCTATTAAAAGCACCATAAAAGGGTATAGTTGTTCTGTCTGCAATTGTAAGTCCGTCCTGAAAAAGCTCTCTGAAAATAAAGACCTATTCTGCACTGCTAAACATAGATTGGCATATGTTCCTTACACACTCACACTAATGCATTAACCATGTTCTTTGTATTTGAAGATAATTCCTGCATATTTAGTACTAAAATAGCAGCGAGAGAAAGTGTTTCCACTGAAAATCCCTCTTATGTGGCAAACTCTTGAGCGCATTTATATGTTTGAGAATAAGTGTGTGTGAGTGTTAAAGAATGAGTTAATGTGTGTGTTTGAAACTGTTCACTGATGGGATGGTAGCAGTCAGTGATCATCACAATTTCCTATTTACTAAATATCAAAATATTAATATTGTTTCAGGATTGTTGTACCACTAAAAATAAAACTATTAGACTTCAGGTGCAAACAAAGATACTTTTATGTTACACATTTTTCATTAGGGCCTTTTCAAACTGAATAGCTCATTTTAAAAGGAATGCTTCTTAACTGGAGTAAAGTATCTGAAAAATAGCTCTCATGATGTGATCATGGTTATTTTGGAAACATTGATTTTTTTACCAGAAAGCCTGCCCTAAATCAGAGTTGTGGGGTTTAAAAGGATTGGGTCTGTTGGTCTTCACATGGAAGACGGTGTAGAGCAGTGTAATGTAAATTGTATGATACAGTGCTTTAATGACTAAAGACTAAAAGTCAGGATATCTTGTCATCTGCGTCTTTGATTTCTTACATTTTATAATGCCTCATGCGTTGCCCAAACTGAAAGTGAATTAAAAAAGTGAAATAAAAGAGAGAGAAAGTGACACAAAAGCGCATAGATTCATGTCAGTTTTCAACAGCAACAGTCACAATAAAAACCTTCATCCTAATCAACAATATTAATGTCCATCTGCCCCCACTATGCTCCGGATCAAAGCTGTCAGTACAAACATCTTCTGTTCCCCAAAATGGAATGGTGTATGCATAGATCTGCTTATGTGCTCAACACGTTTGAAAGCATGAGCTGGCGGTTTCAGTAAATTGGTTATTCTATCAGCCGGCTGAAGATTGACAAGAAATGAAGCAGGCCTGACAGAAAAATATGCTTTAACAAATCTCATTCCTCCAACTTTAAATGAACACAATAACTTTGATATTCACTTATTTTAAACCTATATTTCATGTGATAAATGGTTATAATTTTACATGATTTATTTAGATATTCAGTATACCATCATAATACAAATAAATAAAGTAATACAAAATAAAACTGTAAATATAGTCACATGTGCAGTATATTGTATGTACACAGAAACTACAAATGACTGACTGTTTGGCTCTGTAATGAGACCTTATGGTCTGTAATATAGAATTATACTCAAGTCAGCCCCTGCCATATCAGATGGAATTAGCCTTTGCTTTCACGAAAGCAACCCTGCTTTATCCATTTTCTGTCAAAACAATGCTCAGAGTACTGCTCCATACTCCTTCATTAGACAACTGTGAACACACACACACACACACACACACACACACACACACACACACACACACACACACACACACACACACACACACACACACACACACACACCTTTTAACTGCTGCAGGAAGCTTGATTATAGCCATTACCAGTGTGACAGCAGTGCCACAGTTAATGATATCTGTGTTATACGGAGGACAGCTTTGTGGTGAGTTATTAATACTTAGATGCTTCGTCTTTTATGGCCTTATCAATAAAGGCTGTTCCGCCAGTCGATACAGCTGCTTCACACCAATGACTATTCATCCACAATGTAAATCGACCCAGCATAATATGTGTGTGTGGTGGGGTGGAGCAGACTGTAAAAGCATGTGGGTACATATTGGGCTTTGCAACACCTAACAACATGCACACTGAGAGGTGGTGGATCAGTGGAATGAGTACTGTCAAGGACGGCATGAGTATGATATAGAATTGTTTTTAAAGATAACTTGTTTGACCTGTATCGCATAATGCTGCAGCGACTCTAAAAGAAAAGTGATCATAGTAACCCTATTAGTTTGTGGACTACCTTTTGAAGCTTCAAGTTAAGCACTTTGGTTGTGTAAATATTGCTTTTTGAAACTAAAAGTGAACACATTTAGATGAGAGGGTACAAATGGAGAGTAGCATAGCGTGCCGTTAGCACTGATTTTGCAGACTGACTTCCTGATTCAAGTTAGACACTAGAGGTTTCTCAATACTCTAATTTCCCCTCTTCGACTCCTCGGTCCTCCGGTAGTGACCCGGAAATGGATTTCAGCGCGCCATGTTGAAGGACATCTAATTTCTCTAAATGCGCATCGAGGACCGAGCATCGAGGACCGAGCATCGAGGAGGCTCTCTGGAGGAGCTCTAACCGAGGAGACACTGGTTGCATTCCAATAGTCCATTTAGCTTAGGAACCTTCCTAACGGAGTGAAATGACCCGGAAGTACGTCACTGGCAGCCATGATAAGTGCCGTTCCAATTCTCTAAATGAAAGGAAAGGAGATTTCAAACTTCCTTTATAACCTCCTTTAGCTTAGGAACCACTGGACCTCCCTAACCGAAAGGAGAGGAGAAAATGCTGCCCCACAATGCATTGCAGCCGCAGCATTTGCCGTCACTCAACAGTCGGCCGTTCACGGAAACAACCGATTATGACCGAGAAATTATATCATGAAAGTTACGGTGCTTATTAAGCATTTTAAAACGTATGTGGTAAGTTGCCAAAGTGCTTTTTTCTGAACGTTCATCAGTATTATAATCAAAAAGAGAAATATGAACATTAGTTTTTACTGAAATGATCAAATAAAGTCAACATTTCAGTCTTTACTGAGCTGTGTGGTTTGTTCAACTTTTAAAAGATGTTTGAATGGTGATATACACAGTGATAGATGTTAAGGACTAACGTTTATAATAAATACATTTGTATTGATTTTAAGATCTTTTCATAGTTCATACAATCATACGTATTGGGATCATTTGTATTAATGTGGACCGGAGGGAGAGGGTGACGAGCATAAGTTTCACTTTCCTTTTTTATTTCAATTCCAACTTTGGTCATGAAGAATATGTTTCTCTGTTGTCCCCGTTCATAAAGCATAAAGCAACAGCATCAGAGCACGGTGCAGTCTCTAGATGAGATTACAGTAGTCCCTCGTTCTTATTAAACATCCATGTTGTAGTCCGCTGTATAGAAAACTGTAGTTTCCATAGTTTCCCCACAGCAGCAGACGCACATTCATGACGTCCGCTGGCGCATCATAAACACGTCGGATAGTGAAAGTGCATTCGGATTCTCTAAAGTACCGTAGTCTCTTCTCCTAAATCCTTTTGAATTCTCCTATCCACTATCCCTTAACCCCGTGACGTTTCACTCAGAGGTCAAGGAATAGGAGATAGGGTTAGAATTTAGGAGCTGATTTTTGGATTATCGGAACGCAACCACTGATTCTTTCACACACACATACGGGTATTGAGCCGAGGGCGACACCGTACTTCCGGTATCCGCCGTTTTACGCGAGGTGCAAGCAGCCGTACACCGTCTAGGTGTTGCTAAGCTTCCTGTACTGAATATCATAATCTATTGCCTTAATCAATATCTAGTCAACTCTAAAATACCACATATATGCAATGGCATGATAATATTATTGTGACAAGTGGGGTATTCACCTGGTGTTTCCAGAAATTAGACGTAGATGCTGCCAAAATCGACGAAGGCCACTGTCGTTTTTCCATACATCTGCAGGCAGTCTGTAAGGGACAATCCAAAAACCCACACAGCTCTAGTTTACGCTGGTAACGACCTAAAGCACACCCCTCAAGTCCAGAGATGTAATCCGAAGACATGCAGCGATTTCTTCGGTCGTTAATTCAGAAAAAAAACCTAGTGCGCTCTGCTTGGCTACGTTAGCTAGCTGTTTATATTAGCACCTCCAGGATATTAGCACCTCCAGGAAAATGGCATATTTATATATATATATATTTGGCGCGTGTTGCATTGTGGGTAGCTTGTGACGTCACTGTGTGTGAAAGAATGGGTCCTCCACGGCTCCTCCGCAAGCCCCCAGGAAGTGCGCCGGACTCAGATGAAAATATTCGTGCTGGCCAAACGGCGGTACTACACTTCCGTTTGGTTGCCAGGCCCGGAAACACTTTTTCCCATTGACTTACATGGGGAAAGAGTGGTCTGTAACTCGTTGGATAATTTTTTTTAAACTAAATAAACTACCCAGTATGAACACTTGTATAGCCCTTATTAAAAACATTCGTTCCTCAAGTTGTAATAATGTTATTGGGGAATCTTATGTTGTGCGATGTTTGCGCCGGAGCCGCTTCATCCAGAAACAGCACTCCGTTTAGAGAGTTCACACGGAGACAAGGAATACAGTCTTTGGACTTTAATTAGCTTGAATGCTTCTTACAACAGCTATAGCAGTATTGAATCATGAATGCATGTAGAAGGATTGCATCATTTATTCTTCACGGACGCACATGGTAAACAAACCGCTCGAGGACCCGCAGCTGCCCACTCTAGCTGTCCCCAAATGTGCCCGACCAAAAACACAAACGATACAACGCAGACTAAAGAAAACAAGGGGAATTTACAACAGCCGCCCCCAGAGTAGCATAGCTATTATGTAAAACAGAATAAATTCCCTAAGGTGTAGCGGAAGTCCCTGGATCAGCATCGTCGTCCGATAAAGCGGGTAGCTGCACAAGGCGTGCCACGGGTCGCAGGTACGTCCTGTCCCCGACTTGAACCTCAGCCGACCGGATGCATCCATCAGCACTGGCCTTCAGCTTGACGACCTTCCCCACTGGCCAGTGGGCACGTGGAAGCTGAGGATCAACTATCATCACGACAGTACCTTGAAGAAGACCATCAGTGTGCTTCCGCCACTTCTGGCGGACTTGAAGGGATGGCAAGTAGCTTCTGATGAACTGTACCCAGAAGTGGTCAACCATCATTTGACAATGACGCCACCGCCTCTTGCTGAGGGTGTCTGTAGCGTATGATACTTGTTGAAGGGAGGCATCCCGCCGCCCCATCAGCAACATGCTTGGCGTCACAGGATCTGGATCTGCGAGGTCTGATGACACATAGCCTAAGGGTTTGGCATTTAAGATACCTTCCACCTCAACTAACAAGGTAAGGAGGACTTCTCCCTGGAGAGACTGAGTGCCGATCACCACTTGTAGAGCCTTCTTGACTGATTGTATCTCACGCTCCCACGCACCACCAAAGTGGGGAGATGCTGGAGGGTTAAAGCGAAACTTGATCTGTTTCTTGGCAAGTTCCTCTTGCAGTTGGGGCATCATTCCGGCAAACGCCTCCTCAAGCTCCCTAGCTGCTCCCCGGAAGTTTGTCCCCTGATCTGAGAGAATCTCGAAGGGGATGCCGCGCCGAGCGATGAATCGCCTCAAGGCCAAGAGGAAAGCATCTGTATCGATGCTATTAAGCAGATCTAGGTGGACACAGCGAGTGGTGAGACATTTAAAGATGACTCCCCACCGTTTGTCACTGCGCCGCCCTACCTTGACGGTATACGGCCCAAAACAGTCGACCCCAGTAGAGAAGAATGGAGGCTTGAGGAGCCGCAGACGGGCAGAAGGCAAGTCGGCCATAATCGGTATCACTGGCTTCCCTTTCCACTTCCTGCATCCAGTGCAAGTCCTCTGATGATGCTTGACGGCCTGTCTTCCACGCAGGACCCAGTACTGGCGCCTAGTCTCAGCAAAGACCCTGTCGGGCCCTGGATGGAGCAAGCGCTCGTCCATGTCCTTAATGAGGAGTTTTGTGACTACATGACTGGGATCGAGAACAATGGGGTGAATTTCCATATCACAGGAAGTCTCCAGGTGGCGAAATCATCCACCGATGCGGATCAGACCCATTGCAGGATCCATCTCCGGTGAAAGCATACTGAGCTTACTGCCAGGTTTGACTGGTTTTCCAGCCTTAAGACACTCAATCTCCTCTTGGAAGCATTCTGCTTGGCTGTGCTGCAACAGGAGGCTTTCAGCGTCACGCAGGTCAGACTGAGGCAGGCACAGATGGAGGTGGAGGCTGCTGTAGTGATGCTGGTCCTCTGGTCCTTGGTGGTGATGGCTCTGGTGAAGGCCCTTGAGCCACTGTAGATCTTGACCTGGGTGCAGGCACAGATGGAGGTTCTTGCTGCTAGGCGCAGGCAGCTGTGAAATCGGAAAGAAATATAGGACAATAATTACTACTAAGTTAATTAAAATATAAAGTTCAAGTGGAATGTTTCTCCCTTCTCCCTCTCTATTTAACTATGTTACACCCACACAATGAAAGTACACTATTACTGTAATATTTACCTATCTTCAAATGGATCCTTGTTGCTGTATTCTCCAGGTTCTGATGCTCCATCTCCACTGCTGCTAGTGTTACAAGTCCGCTGTGCAGAGCTGGTAATCAGATAATAAGCCTGTTGAACAGGAGAAAAGAATAAAGCAGAGGGAAAGTTGCTGCCGTTTGTGTGGTTGTCCTAGCGAGAATTTATTAAACACATCAATAAATTCACTTCAATTATATCCGTTTTCTCTATTTAACTAATCATTCTCTGCTTTGACACCACATGTATCTCTGCGTTGTGTTGTGTGGTCGAATGAATATGACTTCCTTCTTGCCAACCAGCTTTATTATCTGTGCAAACAGAATATAAGGAAATGGCTTCACCAGCTTTCTACCTCAATACTTCTCCTCAGTGAGGCCTGAAGCTAACTGAGAATGTAAAAATACGTTTAGCAAATCAAAATAACTGTATGTCTGACAAATTTGTTTTCTAATCAAAAATGGACATAAATCCACATGCCATATTGTGACTTTCATGAAGGATTAAAGCCTTTTTCATTTACAGTATATAATACAGTGATAACAGATAACACAACCCGACTGTACTCACTTTAACATGGCTGTTGTACAGGTACAATATTAGCATAGCATTAGCGCTTTAGCATTTAAATAATATGAACAATTATGACCTCAGACCAGCATTTCACATATTTATACAAACAGAATAAACTTGAAATGTAAGCCAGACTAGTGCACGGGACTCATACACATAGTAGGGATACATTATTCAGGGAGCAACAGCCTGTGTTAAAGAAGCTAGCGGACGCCATTAGCCACACGCTAGTGGCGTAGCTCACAGAATGTAACATTACAAACTACGACCAAACACAGTTTATCAAACACACTTCTTAGATCGAATATGGACATAATCTGTTGTACACACTACTAACCTGTTGAACAGGATAAATGAATGAAGCAGGGGGAAGTTCCCTTCTTCTTCTTCTCTTCTTCTTCTTCTCTTCTTCTTCTTTCTTCTTCTTCTTTCTTCCTTCGTCTTCTCTCTCTTTCTTCTTCTTTCCTTTCTTCTTCTGCTCTTCTTCTTCTTCTTCTTCTTCTTCTTCTTTCTTATTCTTCTTCTTCTTTCCTTCTTCTTCTTCTTCTTCGTCTTCTTCTTTCTTCTTCTTCTTCTCTTTCTTCTTCTTCTTCTATCTTCTGTTTCTTCTTCTTGCTTCTTCCTTTCTTCTCTTCTCTTCTTCTTCTTTCTTCTTCTGTTCTGTTCATATTGCTTTCTATCTTTCTATGATCTTCCTTTCTTGGTCTTCTGTCGCTTCTTCTTCTTCTTCTTCTCGCAGACTCTCACAACAACACACGTCACCAAGATGGCCGTCACTACTGTCTTGTCAAAAAAGTGATTGACCTCACTATCAACACAATGAAACACGTCCAGAAGAATGTCATGCAAAGCTGCCTGCCTGCCTTTGATTCTCTCTGAACTGCCTGATCTTTTTAATGTTTAATGTCTACCATTTGTGCAGATAGCATGAAGTAGAACAGATCGCCGGCACTAATGTAGCGTTAGCGTTAGCATTTCTCCCCCGGGCTTAAATGGTGTATTATAGAATGATCACACCGGTGTGACAGTACTCTTCAAAGGGTTCACGAAATATGACTACTACTCTTACTGTTTAACGTTTTGGGTTACTTGATGTTACTTCATGTTAAGGCTAATACAAATGACAAGGCTAAGACTGCAATGCTAACTAACGTGCTTGCTACTAGCTAGGTAGCTAACTTGATCCAGCCAGCCACTCCTGATCCTTTCATCAGACGGGAAGCGAAAGAACGAGCAAGACCCATTGTTGGTATGATTACAGCCTGGTACTAAGCACACAGGCATCTTGTTAAAGTTATCTTATCTTAACTATCTCTTATATTTAGCGGAGGAAAACAATTGTGACATCAGTTATGACATCACTTACGCGACTCTGGGATTTGTAGTCTTTCTAGTTGCGTATTTTTCATAGTCAAACTGTGACTTTTTTGACATGGAAATGATTTTTTAAGATCGACAAACATCATATGTGTAATTCGTGGCACAATTTAAACGGGAATCTTTCTCTCTCCATTGACTTCAATATAAACTTTTTTCCGAAATAAGGTCCCATCAGCGCTGGGTCCCATGAGTACCACCGGAAGTGGAGGGACTTCGCCTCGTTCACTTTTTTCGTTGTCTACTAAACCGGAAGCTAAACAAATGAGCTGCACAAGGTAAATAAATAGGAGGAGAGGAAGAAGAAGAATAAACCGTTTCTTATTTATAGAAACAGTAAAATCATCGAAAAATGTCCACGAGAAACTTAATCTTGCGTTGCAAAAGGACAATAAATGACTGCACAAGACTTCTCCAAACAGATGATGGTCATGCTGTGTTACAATCCACAATAGTGAGGTAAGGAAGGGCCCAGCCTATCGCTACTATCGAACACAAAGGAATGTAGTTTGTTTGTGCATGTAACTTACTGAGGGGCTGTGAGATCTTTCACACTTACAAATTCTGTCTTCTTCCCTATTTCACCAAACCGTTTACTGGCAGGTTAGAAACAATGGAGAGGAGCCTCGAGTGGTCACGGGGCAGGATAATTAACGTCCCTACAGCTGATCTTTTACTTCAGGACCTTCGGGAATATATAGTTGAAGTCCGGAGATCTTGGCCTACCACAACCGCACAACAAGGTAGGCCAATGTAATTTTTTCCCTTTAGGATAGGCTATCGTTGAGAAACCAGTGTTAGTATTGTTGAGAAGTAAGTGGCCAACAGGCCAATACATTTTAACCCTCCTATTGTGGTCCCCCCCCCCCCCCCCCCCCCCCCCCCTTACTTTGGTGTTTGTGACCGGTCCTGTTTTAACTGCTATTACATTAACACAAAAACCATTAATCATCACCACATTTAATTTAATACCCTTCCAAACTGTAGATATTGTATCAGACTACTGGTATACGTGCAGTAAATATACAAAGGATAGACACCTAAGGGGATGGGCACATAAGAGCGGGGACACATCTACAGTGTGTTTGTGTTTTATCTGATCCGGATGGTTACTAATTCCTTTCCTTTATGCCGGTCATTTTTGAGTAAATCATCCAAAATGCAATGAAAGTGGTGATCAGCAATTGTATATGTTCAAATGTCTACTGTGAAGGATATCATAAAGCCTTAATGCAATCGAATGTAAAACAAAAAAGTTATGATGAAAGTAGTACATCGGTCAGATTTGACCCGAACACAACAGGAGGGTTAAAGTAATTATTTGTTATTAAAATATCGGTAATACCAATATAAAAACGTTTTTAATTTGTAGTTGCCAGCTATTAATTAGCACATTCTGGTGAGACGCTGAGTCTGGAGTTGTCCACTGAAACCTTAAAACTTGACTCCAAATTCCACCTTTATCTCCTGCTGCACTAGACGCTATTCCCCCTCCCCTATCGTGGGCAGTCTGGCCAGCTCTCATTGTAGTACATACTATGTATCATCAAACGTGTGAATGAGGACATTGAAAGTGTGCCAGAGGGGGGAGTCTCTGTCTTCAGGGTTTGACTGCAACTATGTATCTCTATGCCCATACACATTTTATGTTTTTGTTCATACTGTATACTACAACTATAGTGTGTTGCATGTCCACTGGTTTAATGCCAAACTGCATTTCCCTTTCATAGTAACTTTTGGCTGGGCAATGACACAAATAAAGTGTGGGTTTCTGGCACAACGACAGAAATACAACAATGACAATAAATGTAATCTAATCTTTTGCTGTTGTTGCAGGTCATTCTGGCTACCACGCCCCGCTCATTTTGTTGGGTGGTCGAGGTCCCCCACAATACAGCATTTCGAGAGAGCAACTCTCTTTTTTGAGGAGCTGTGGTTTTACAGCTACAAAGATGGCACATATATTAAAAGTATCTCTGCGCACAGTGACACGGCGATTGAGGTATGTAGCAATGCCTTCAACATTGGAATGTGCTTCTTGTCTCAATTTATTGTAAACATCCCAAGGAGGGGTTGTAGCCATGTTACACTATGCATGTTGTAAAGTAAATCTGAATACCGTAGGTCTCACATATTTTTAAAACATGTTTATTTTTCAGGCGGTTCCACATGCTCTGGGATATACTCCACCATCTCAGATGCTGCACTAGACGACCTCATCAAGGAGTTAGTGGCTGGGAATAACCAGATTGGCCCTGAATCTGTCAGGGCACAGCTGCAGGCCCAGCAGTTGTGGATACAGAGACGCAGAGTGCGGGACAGCATGAGGCGGATAGACCCAGAAGCAGCTGCACTACGAGCAATGTCACAGAGACTGCATCGTAGAGCATACCGGGTCGCCGGACCAAACTCCTTGTGGCACCTAGATGGAAACCACAAATTAATAAGGTAAATATGACCAATACCAGACTTAAAAGATGGATACTTTCTATCAGTAGGCCACAAAACCCAAACTCCTGCTTCAGTTCATGTATTGTGCATCAAACTAGTCATATTTTTCATGTTTTTGTTTCAGGTGGAGGATTGTCATTCATGGGGGTATTGACAGACAACAACATGAGCACTACTGTGATGGCGAGTTTCATGGACGCGGTGGCCAAGTATGGTGTGCCCTCGAGGGTCAGAACCGACTATGGGGGCGAAAACAACAACTCTGTCTGCCTAATGATGAACATCTTCAGAGACTCTCACAGAGGCAGTGCTCTCCGTGGAAGAAGCACTCACAACCAGAGAATAGAACGGCTCTGGGGTGACCTGTGGCGAGGTGTGAGCAATGTCTATTACGACCTCTTCAACTTCCTGGAGAGTGAAGGCATAATAGACATAGACAATGAAATGCACATGTGGGCCCTGCATTATGTCTATCTCCCACGCATAAACCATGACCTACGGGGTTTTTTGGACCAGTGGAACAATCATGGGTTGAGGACCGAAAGACACCAGAATCCCATACAACTTTTTGTCCAAGGTTGCCTGGAACGGCAGGGCCAGACCACTTCTGCCATGCAGAGCCTCTTTGGTGGACGACAAGGAGATGCTCAGGAGGAGCCAGAGAGAGAGGGTAGAGCTGATGCAGGGGATGATGCTGAGGAGGAGCCAGAGAGAGAGGGTGGAGCTGATGCA